CTGGATACTTACTTTGTTTCCCTCGTGAAGGCCCCATTTCGGTCGCTTTCACCTCAACGCTCGTTTAAATTATTTTACCAGTTTTGAGTCGTAAATTTTACGTAGACTTTAATTGTTATTTTAACTGCAAGCTCAACTTAGTCGTCGCTACAATGGGGGCCGTGAAAATATGTCTTAATTCGCTTTCCCTATGACTTATGTTTAATTGAAATTTAAACATTTCCGTTGGTAGTATCTTTACTTATAATTTATTCGAATATTAGACAGCGTGTTATATGTTTAATGTTAAAATAAACAGAGGTTTTTCAACTCGACATGTTCGTATTAAAAGTCTCAAAAGTGTAATCGTTTAAATTTAAATAAACTTGAACCAACTTGATCTCATAACCAACGCTCCAAAGGCGTCACATTCGAAATTTAAAAGTTATTGTTGTTTTTACTGAGTGCGTGAAATTGAAGAGGAATAGAATTTTCTCGACGACCCTCTGGGATTCACGAATCATGTTTTGCTGCCAGCAAATAATAGATCTCTGTAGAAATATACTTTACAACATTTCCTTGTACACATATTCATACGCATTAGCATTTTAAAGTAATCGATAACGTATCAGCTAATTACCTTTGAGCTTAAATTGCGTAACCCAAATCGATTCTTTTGTTTATGGGTCTCGATCCTTTCAATCATCTATCGGCCATTGAGTTTCGGTATCATAATAATTGTCCATAATTATATATTCCCTTGAACCGCGCGCATCATTTTTATTGTTATTTTATTTATAAAGTAATAATTTTTTCGTTCGACGCAACTCCATCAGGTTTTAAATTTGATTCATCCGATATAAAGATCGATTTAATAATAATCGAGTATTCCGCTTAACGTTTTGATTTTCTCTTGTTTTTGTCGATAAACGTTTTCATTGGATCGATATTATTTCGTGTCTACTTAGTGTCTGGGTTTCGATGATTTATTGATAACTAATTTTGATTTAATACAGTCTTACTCGACGAAAATAATTTAGGACCATTATGCTTTTAATCATCATCGGTTTTGGGGAATATAATGGCAGATTTTATAAACACAGTTCACAAATATTTAGTATGAAACGTTGGGTGTAGTTATCAATATTTGCCTGGAGATCTAGGCACCTGTAGTAGCGTTAATAGTGAACAATGCAGATAAGCAGGACCGGCGTAAGAGAGACCACCGGGAGCTCCTTTTGTTAGGCGCTTGGAGTCGCAAATCGCTAGATGCTGAGATACGGCGCATACCGACGCGGACCCTTAATGGCCATCCCTCGGCGGAGGTAATTTACGTCTCATGTGCGAAACCACTCTTAACTAAAAGCCCTCTAAATTACAGCATACACAGGATTGATTCGAAATTAGTCTCGCAACCGCACGCCTTAGATTGACTCTTTTTATAAACTCTTTTAATAAAATTCTGATAGTAATTCTTCACACGTTTAAATTTTATATTGCTCTGGGTTAACAATTTTATTTTATGCAGTTTTCTCATAATGACATTGCTATAGCGTATGCTATTTATTAGATAGAAGGGCTTACAATTACTCGTGTAGTTCTTCAAAAACTATAGTTAAATTTGAAAAAGAACAACAAAATAACAAATAAGCGTATGAAGCAAAAGCCTAAGAACAATGAGGAATAAGAGAGTCAATGTTTCAATTTACAAGATCACAGATCGAGATAGCTCTGTCCGCGATGTTGCTTTATTCTGGCTTGTAATCCGCACCGTGCGCAAAAGCAAGTTAACTTGTCTCCGTGTTATCGAAAAGATTTGTATGCGTCGATATGGTACATGAACAGTAAAGTATACTTGCTGTTGTCCATATCATGTCTTGTAGATTTATATCTCTGCAATAGGCAGGTAGTCATGACGCCTTTGCGCTATATTAGTTTATTATGTTATTTAATTAACAGTTTAAAAAAGTCTTCGTTAAATTGTTTTTGTGCAAATTTATGTACTAATAATCAGAAATGTGTAAGGAAACCTCTCAACACAATAATTTCTTTCGTTAACCCTTCCTACTTCGTTGTTTTAATCATATATTTCTCATCGCAAACTTGGTAATGCCCAAACGATATGCTCATAAATTCTCTTCCACCTGAGGCAGTATTGTAATAACGTTTTTCATTAACAAGTAGTATTGGTACATCGGTACAGCTGAAATAATTAAAACGCTAAGTGAACTATTAAGCAAAACAAACCTCGCGGTATTGAACAAGTAAGTTGCGGGTCTGTATGCGCGTATCCGATTGAGGCGTTGCAATTTCATAAGTATCATTAAGATTGTTTTACTACCTCGTTGTAGATACACCTATCTATATACATACACACATCAAAAAAAGTTTGCGATCAATAGCATAAGCTCCTATAATTCTTTAAATTTAACTTTATCAAGAAAAAATCTATGTTGTATGCTTTCTTTAAATAGGAATACCCTGTTTGAAATTAAAATATAAAACTATTTTTTATTATTTATTTTAAAAAATTGAGCCATTAATCATAATGTAATAGTGATAGAAATTTCGTAGAAAGAAAAAGACTGTTTAATTAAACTTAAACAACTATTTATTATTAAAAGGTGTGAATTCAATATAAAATAACTCCTTTCCTGGCTCGAATTCATGCGAAGATCCTCCTGGGCATGCTGAGGATCAAGTTATCCAGCATTTCCTGGGGTAACCTATCCCATTCTTCAATAGCGGCTTCCCTGAGCTCTGGAACTGTCTGGGGACGTGGCTCACGGTTCCATACTGCTCGTTTAAGAGCATCCCACGCGTGCTCTATTGGGTTTAAGTCGGGCGAGCCGGCAGGCCAGTCTAATCGTGTGATATCGTATTCTTGAAGAGCAGCATTGACTCGTTGAGCTCGATGTGCGGGCGCATTATCATCGACCAGTACAAATTGGTGCCCATGGTTTACTCGGAATGGTCTGACGATATCATCAATAACAACTGCTTTGTACATGTCTGCTGTCATGAAGCCCCGATACGGGATCAAAGGCGTTCTAGCTCCAATCATAATGCCACCCCAAAAGGACACCGATTTTCCGCCTTGCTGAACTATTCCAGTGGCAGTTCTTTGTCTTTCACGGTCGCCTGGTCTTCTCCAGACACGGACACGTCGGTTATCTGGATGAGTGCTCTGTTCGGGATTCGTCAACGAAGAGACAGTTTTGCCAAATGTTTTCGTCCTCACCTTCTTCATTTTGCCGAAGTCTAGCCCACTGCAATCTTCGTTGTTGACGTTGCCGGGAATTGAGCGGAGCTCGCCAAGACCTCCGTGCTCGTAATCCAGCCTGGTGCAAGCAATTGCGAACGGTCTGCGTGCTAACTTCAAGCCCAGAGGCGGCCCTGACTTCTGCTTTTATTTTAGTGGCGTTGATTGTTGGATCACGGGCTGCCAGCAATCTAATATAGCGCTTTTGGGCAGCTGTCAAAACAGTTGGGCGACCGCTGCGGGGTCGGTCAGCTAAATTCCCCATTCCGTGATACCTCTGCAACGTAGCCACGACACAGGATTGGGATATAGCAAGTCTGCGTGCTATTACTCTCGTGGTGTATCCTTCTTCCCTCAAAGTTACTATTCTAGCTCGTAAAACCTCTGATAATCCTCTTGGCATTTTTTCAATCACAACTTTCCGCGAAAAATATCTTGAATCGCTTATAATTGATTAAATCAGATTTCTGAATGAGCGTAAGCTAGGACTGAAAGCCTTTTTATATGAAAAAACAATTGAACGGGGTCATTGTTTTAGGTTCTAATTTATTTTTAAATAAAGAATCTAAAAAGAAGAAAAAATCATAATATAATCTACAGTAACAAAAAAGATTTCAGTTTTTCGAAGTGATCGCAAACTTTTTTTGATGTGTGTATGTATATCTGTGCCTTCATTTTACGTGTTAAATCTTTTTGTACACAGATTTTTCTAATATTCACGTACTTAACCAATTACATCAAGTAGTTATACGCGTTCTTAAATTGTATGCGTTTAATTCAATACATCAGTGTGAGAAACATCCATTGTCTATTCATTAACTTAACTACCCATTCAATTAGAAGTAAATATTCAAACACACACTTTTCGAAACAAAGCTTTGATAGAATGAAAACGATTCAAGATACACAGCAGCCGTAGGTGCTAACAACGCAAGTTAATCAGCTTGATCCCCTTACGACCTCCATTAGATAGACGCGACTTAGGAACCTAATTGAATAAGGGACCAAATTAAACTGTGAACGAGCATGACCTCTTTCTATTCAAATTTGAGTCGTTCGTACCACGATTACATCGACTAACTGTACGCACGTGTATATATATATATATATATATGACTACAACAAAGCTATTAAGTAACGAATCGATGCTAGATTAGAACTTGATTGAAAGTTACGAGTAAGTTTACTTTGAAGGTACGTTAAATTTGATCGAAAGTTGAATAAGGCATGGGGTTAGATAATCAGATGTGCAAGTTTTTCCGAGGATAGAAAATAAGCTTGCTTGGAGAGATTATAAACCTCTTTAACATACTAGACGTGCGTTTGTTTGTATAATATTGTTAACGCATTAAAGCACTCGTACAGATCTAATTGAAAATTCAGCGTAAGCATCTCAAAACATACCCAAATCGGAAGTTCCTCCCCCAATCATTTCCGTCAGGTTAGATCTAATTGAAAGTTATGCAAATCTCTCAATTCGACTCCTTCACAATAGTACCGGGATTCCGAATGAGTTAATCCATGTTTATGTTCCTAATCGCCCCTTGCTTACGGCCTTGTTACCGGTTTAGCTCACTGTTAAATTAATACAATGCTTTTTGTGCACAATGAACCATTTATTTAACTTATAATATTGTTCAAGGCAACATTTATTGTAAATAGGAAAGTTATTGTCGGCCTGCTCCTTATTACAGAAGTGAAAAACTTATTATGATAAAAATTACAATAGACTTTAAATTCCTAATTCTTATTGTTGCAGCTGAACTAAAGATGGACGTGCTCAGAGAGCGGGAAGTGAAAGACAGCCTAGAACGACAACTTCTAGACGAACAGAAAATGAGAGGTACGTACAGAAAACTTAGAATATGCTGTTAGTTACAAGTATCAAGGTCGTAAGTCTTCAGGCTAACTTTGTTGACCAAGCAGCGGATCGTTAACGACTCTAAGAATTCATATTACCCAAGTTTCTCCACATTTAATATTAGACACGGACAACAATCTCAGAGCTTTGAAAAGAACAAATAGGGTGTAATTTCAATGCCTCCATAAATTTCTGATCATGCTCGGCGGTCGCTCCGCATTCGCCACAATTAACAGAGATCTTGTTACAAGTCCATTGTCTTCTTCCCCGCCACGTTATTTATTTCCAGCATTAAAACTATTATTTTCTCATATTACAGCAGCTAGTGTAGTGCTTTATGTTGCCAATTTCCTTTCCGTGCCTCCGACTCATCGCCGCCAACCATAGTTATTGTTTATGCCACAATGAACTCTGGATGTTCAATTAATACCATTTTTATGATCGTATTCACACAACCTCAAGAGAGTTCTTGTTAGCAATCATATGTATGTTTGTTCCTGTATTTTCCCAAGACGCGTCTCGCGTGTACCAACGTTTTCTTCAATTTATAGGTTCATTGATAGTTTATATAGCCCCGTTTGACGTCTGTGTAATCACCATAATTACACTATTTATTAAGACAATTTTGCTGTACTACGATGAAGTATCCGTTTTGCGTTTGTGTAAAGGGTCAACAATGCCATGTTTGGTCTAGACAAACAGCGATCATTTTGAACGATTTATATCGTAGAGTTAAGAACTCCGTCGCCATCATAATTCGACATTAATGTTTAGACACCAAACATCGTACCCCTAACAAAAGTAAAGGTTAAATCGAGTACAATACAATAACACCCTTTCTTGGGCAATAAAACATTACATCATCAAGAAAAGAAAACCAATAGAATGGAGGTAACCTTTGTACAAATGTCAGGCGACATAGCAGCGGTGACCTAGCGCCTTGAGACAAAGGGTTTAATTCTATTAAACATTAACACTAATATGCTAAATTCAACTTTACTGCCTCAATGACAGCGTTAACTTTTGATAGAGTAGGGAGGATATTTAGCACACAAGAAACGACATAAAGGTGTCGTAGACATTTCATCGAGGTAGACATTTCTCTTGTGCAAATGTAATATAAATTTAAATGTTAATAAAGGGACGACAGGTCGCAGTGAGCTCGTCGTATCATATAAAGAAAATAATGATGGCTATGGTCGCGTAGTGTTGTAATTAATGTTTTATTGTAATTGCACATAACATATTTATAATTCTAGGAGAATCAGTAACGATCATTAAGAACTTTAGCAGTAGAACAGAAGACACCTTTATAGTCTCGTTGCCTTTAATTATTACAATTTTTTGTTGCAATTAGTTAGTATTGATTTTCCGCTTATTGGTATTATCATTGCATTACCGAAAATTGAATTTTACACAATGTGTTATCAAAACGGTTTTGTTAGTTTACGATCAAGTCTAAAAGCTTTTTGACATGTAGTCTGTGTGGCCAATTACCGGTTTGTTTTAAAAGTAATAACTAGTTGAAAATGAAACTATTTTTTCGTATTCACAACATTACAACTGCCTCCGTGGCCGAACGGTTACCATGCCCGCCACTCTCAAGTCACAGGTTCGATTCCCAGGCCGGGAGAAATATTTGTATGGCCTACATTTCTTTCTCTCGTGAGTTTGGGTGTAATTTGTGGTTGTCTATGTGTGTGTTGTCCATGGCACCCGCAACACAGGGTTTTCCTAGTGCGGGACTATGTTGAGTGTGTGCGTTATTATTTATATTTGTTTTTTGACAGGTCCTATAGTTAGGTCTAAATTTTATTCCCAATGTGTAGCAATCGTGAAAACTTTAAAACTCGATAAGTATTACTAATGATCAAAAATAACGGCGGTACCACAAACGACCAGACCCGAGACAACATACAAAAGTTTTTTTTCTACATTGACCCGGCCGGGGATGGCCCGTCTCAGAAATGGCAACGCCATGAAAACCGGCCCGGCCACGAACGTCGTTAAAGAAAAAAAAATACTATTCATGGCTTACGTAAAAGACGAAATGTCCATCAGTCAGTAAATAAATCTTAGCATCAATTCTCCGCTGACTAAAATTAATATTGTCAGTTAGTACAATATACATGCAGAGCGATGCAACAAAGAGGGAAACCGAGGTTCCATACATATTTCACACGGTGAATGAACCCGATTGCGAGGTGAGCAATACTGTTAATTGCCAAAAACCAATCATCAGATAGCGCTCTATGCGTCCACGCCGTGAAATACAACTTTAGTTACAAAAGCCGGACCAACAGCAATTGCATTTTCCAACATGCACCTATATTGATAAACTATGACACCTGTCGAAAACAAAATTATAGTTATTTTAGGATACATATTTCGATCCCTCAGTGATGATCATTAAAATTCGGCTCGGTCGATTTAAAATTCAAATCTGCGTCGAAGACTGAAAAACAATAACAAAAAAAAAACACGAAATAACTCCTAATAACACAAAATCTTAAAAATGCGAAGATTGATATTGAAGATAAGTTCAGTAAACTCAAACGATTTGCTAACCATCCCTTTGATATTGTTTCGTATTAAAGTTTCGTCTCAAAATTATTTATATTAACTAAGTTAACAAACAAACGGATACTTGCGCTTTGCTAGTCCTTGGTTACAAATTCATCACTTCCGTCAGAAAATAAAATTCAAAACTTAAGCGATGTTCATCCCGTATTCTCGGCCGGGTTCCGTCGGCGGAATCCCGCGGACCAATAACAATCAATCAGGGAGGCCGATCGAAGTCCGCCATGAAAATTGGAATAGAGCCCGGCCTAATCAACGTCCGCGAGCACAACCCATTCATAATAGATATTGTATTGAATAGTCCAGTATCGCATCGGAATCTAGCGCTTTCGTAACATACAGGCTTCCATTTAAATAAGGATGGTACTCGTTTCGAATAATAGTTGTAATTAAATGATAAGCCTCTGATAAATTTCTGTTGCTTACGGTTTTATGCTGGTGCATTAGTTTGGCTTTCGTGCGCTATACCTCCCTTTAATTCGCACAATTGTTTCGTTTAGAAAATTGAAAACTCATTATGAGAATTAAACGTTGGTACTTAATTCAAACGAACAGATCAGGTCTAAAAACTAAGTTGACCATAAATTAATTAATTGTATTAGATTTTCCACTCCTATCTTTTATGGAGTAAGTAAGTCATTGTAAGGGATGAAGATGCTTTACTCAATCATTTTGATTTATTCGCTTATAATTGAGTCGGACTTCGTCTCTTGATAGGGACACCCTTGAAGGGTGCGTGTTCCTTCATTACGGAGGATGTTATGAAAGTTAGTTGGAAGGGAGATCGCAAGACGATTCCATAGTTTTCGTCCTGTGATTTCGAGGCGTTCCGGTATGGTTTAACCTTTAGGGCGGACAGAGATGTAATTGGATTCGTATAAAATTGCGTAACAAAGATCTAACCTGGTTAATTGATTGTTACTCTAATAAGATCTTTTTTGTATGACGAAATGTCAGTATTGTTACAAGTTTAAAAAAATGCCGTGGAAATAAAGCTATTATTAAAAATCAGTTGCATAAGAAAAAAAAATGTATAATTTTTTTGGTGTTCACGATTCAATTATAGTTTCTATGTGATTTGCGTTACCGTTGTCTCACAATTTTTTCGTATCTACTGACTTATCAATAGTATTAGTGGTACAGACTACGCCCCTGTGATCCCTATGCGTTCTGTCCCCACATTCGAGATAAGTAAAGGAGTCGGTATAATTCGCATTGTGAGCGAGATTGTGTAATTAAATAACATGTAGGCCGTAACGTCACGGCGTCTTGAAAGGGTTCGCAGTGGAAATGCTACGCCAATTATGCGAACATTATGTTCGGAATGGAGGGTTATCGATGCCCCTTACAAGTACCTTTACATTCTCAGTGTAATACATTTTCTTATTAATAGATTTTATAGTGATGTTGCTATTTAATGTTTGGTACGCACTTATCTCTAGGGTGTACGTATTACCCTCCTTATCATTACTAACGTAATCGAAATTTTTAGCGAAATTGTGTTATTAACGTATCTGGATTCAGCAAAACGAGATCTACAACAGCCTGTAAGCGGGTTTTTTTAAATATCTTGTAATATTTAAATCGCGTATATTTGTTTTTTCAAACAAACCGACGGCTCCATGGGACCTGTAAAGGGCCCGAAACGTCGGTTTGTTATGCGCATACGCGATTTAAATCCGGAATAATAGTTTCATTTACTATGTGTAACAATCGCGAAAATCCAAGAACTCGATATCTTGTATAGTTCAAATTTTTTTGCAAAATCAACATAGGAAATATAACTTTAGGTGCCAATATCTCGAAAGTTAACAAAACGCATTTTTTTATTGACCAAAATACAGAAAAATATTTATTTACTAATTACAAGTTTCGCTCACAATTGCCCTTCCGGCTTTATTCACGGCGAAGGAGTTCAGTCTATTTAAGTAAAGATATAATATAATAGAGCAAAAATCTTAAAAACCAACTTAATGAAACAAAAACATGTTCAATTATATATGCATATAAATGGCATATAATAACAATTAAGCAATTTACAAAATAACGTTTATATCGTCAGTTTTCAAAAAATGTTTCTCAATGTATGATTTATATAGTGTTTGTTGTTTTTAGCGCTAGGTATAACAAGGAGGGGGAGTAAAGTAGTCCGTTTCTGTATCAACCCATTTGTACGTCACTTAAGTAGACGATGATTAAAAATTTTAATTTGTATTTCATTGGTCGTATTAAGTCAATATTGAATGTGGTATTAATTAATTCAGTCAGTGCAGTGCATCCGCCTGTCAGAGGACTATTTGATGTGCATCCCCTTCTATTGCAAACACTATCACGATCGGACAGTCGAGCGATCAAATTCAAATGAAATCGTTTAACTGGTGAACAATCGTATCAACATACGT